GCTGCTGAGCCTAAAATTTAGTTTTGTTCAAGGCAGAAAGCAAGGAGTCAAATCAGACTTCAAAGTGTCATCCAAATAAGCAGAGTGTACATTGCCAGTCTCAGTCTATGTCTATTATTTGTGTCCACATAGTACCTTTTCCTACAAGTTATCTTCGTAAGTGTGACCTAATCCTCACTGATCCATCTCCCTCAAGGTTGCTGTCAAATTGATTTATATATTCCTTAAACTCACTCATTAGAAAACAGAACATCTTGAAGTTCAATACCTATCTTTCTGAATAAAGTAAGATTTGGTAACTGCAAAAATGAAGTCGTTTTTGTTGTGAGCAATGGTTAACTTCAGAATTCATTTTGTTTTCCCATAAGAGTACCTGTAATTCATAAGCATTTTCTCCACTTTCTTCATCCCACTAGACAAGATTATCCACAAAGAGGAGTTCGAGGCATTCCACAAAAGTAACTTTTATTTTACTTGTCTTGTAACTCTTCCAAGTGTCAAGGATTACTTGGTAGTTCCAGAACTTTGGGATTTGCCAAACAAGTCAGTTTTTTTCTTACTCTGTTCTTTCCCACCTGGAGCCATCTGTCCCATGACCGAGCTTTTCTCTTCAGTCATTTTTACATTAAGGAAGCCAAGTTTATAATCCATGGTGGATTTTGACATGCAAATCTATTTAAAGTGGTGAGTGAAGAAAAATAGTTTCTTGCAATGTCTTTATAATAAATTGAAAACCTTGGTAACCTGGATGAATAATCACCACACAGAACGCAGTCAGAGAAAACTAAGGAGGCAGCCAACATGGGCCGGAATGAATGGTTTCTTGTATGCAAACAGTATAAATTTTGTGACTTGACATTTCTCCAAAACTTGGTTTTGCTGTGATTTTACTTTGAAACTTGTGGTATTCTATGTAAATCAAGAAAAATGTTTTGCATCCTAAGTCAGCTTGGTTTTCCCGACTCCAAGGTTAATTCACTGATTTAACCCACAGTTTCAGTATGTTGGGTATCAGTGATATATTTCAAGCCTTCTGGTATGTGTTGAAGAGCCAATCATGTATAAGATGTAGTTCTTGCCTTCAGGGAGCTTTCAGTCCACTTCGAAAGACAGGCGTATAAATAGAGAAGAGGTGTGCAATATGGAGAGGACCATAACCAAAATTTTAATTAAGTGTCATGGGATCCCACGTGAGACAGTGAGTAACTTCGCTTTAGAAAGCTGGAGAAGCCTGAATTCCAAGGGTGCGAAAATAGATTCCACCTCTTGATGGGAGAATCAGCAAAGTCACATTGTAAAGGGGTGTGGGAACAGGAAGGGGAGGAATTACTTTGTCTTTCTTTGCTGGAAGCAGACTGTGAAGACACACAGAAGGTAAACACTTTGAAATTTATCCAAAGGGCAACAGAAGTTACCAGTGGTTAGTTGTTTTATTTTATTTTTTTTATTTTTATTATTTTGTTGTTTTTTTATTTTTTATTAAGGTATGATTGATATACACTCTTATGAAGGTTTCACATGAAAAAACAATGTGCTTACTACATTTACCCATATTATCAAGTCCCCACCCATACCCCACTGCAGTCACTGACCATCAGTGCAGCAAGATGCCACAGATCCACTATGTGCCTTCTCTGTGCTACACTGTTCTCCCTGTGATCCCCCACACCATGTGTAGTCGTTTTATTTTAATTTTAAGCACTAAGATATAAAATGTTCTGCTCGACATCCCTTATTCAGGAACCATTCCTCTCCTACAATCTGCATCATTACTACAGAAACCATTACATCAGTTTGATGGCCTACCTTTTGGTCAGCTGTTTGGTTCAGGAGTAGGCCAATCAGAATCCTTCCTTTAAAATATTTTCTACTGCAAATGAGAGTTGGACTCTTGCCAATGCCTGAAGCTGTAAAATGTAAACCTTGGGGAGTGGGGAGCACTAGGTGGTTGTGTTTTGAGCTATAGAGAGAGAGCCACTCTGCAGAGAAGCAGGGGTGAGAGGCAGAGTTCTTATGGCCCTCGGCTCCACGAAATCAGGTATCCCTCTTTTTTTGGCACTTGCTCAGGTTCAGTATATCTCTGAGTCTCAACTAATCAAAGAGGGGGTAACACCTGAAAGTAGGGAGTTGTAAGTGACAACATCAGAATCTGAAACCAGTTGAGTTTGGGTGTCATGACTATTGGCACGTTACTTTAACTGGTTTTTACTGGTATATAAAAAAGTTGTTGCTTTTTATATTTTGTATACAGCTGCCTTACTGATAGCTTTTCAGCTGAATCTCTTGGAGTTTTCCAGACTAATAGGTTATCAGAAAAATAATTTTATTTTGTCCTTTTCCTTTCCTGTGTACATATATACATACATACGTGTGTGTTGTGTATAATTTCTTTTCTTGTCTTACGTAATTGGCTAAAACTTCCAGAACAGTGTTTCCTCATAGTAGTGTATATTCAGCATGCTCATTCTATTCCTGCCTTTATAAAAAAGGATTCTAATGTTTTCCCTTTGAGTGTAATTTTTATAGTTCTTGTTGATAAATACTTTTCATCATAGAGAATTTTTTTCTTCCAATCTAAATTAGAATTTTTTGAAAATTTGAAATGGGTATCATAGTCTTTCAAATAATTTTTCAGTAATTATCAAGTTCATGTTACTTATTCTTTAATACATGAATAAATCAATTACATTAAAATGTTTATTAAGTTGTCCTTACATTCTGAAATAACCCCTACTTGTCTTGATATAGTATTCCTTTCCCACAGGCCTGAATTTGATTTGATAATATGGGAAGACCTTGTTTTGCATGATACTGTATTAATTGCTACTTGTGCATATCAGAGTCAAGTCCTCTCTTTGCAAGTTCTAATATGCATGCATCTTATTTAACATGGTACTGTGCAAAATGAAAATTGCTTGTATTTTATTTAGGGAAGTTTACATTTATGATCATATACTTTGTTTTTTTGGTGTAATAGCTGTCAGATCTGGGTTAGGAAAAATGAAGAACCTTCCTTTTTCCTGTGCTCCAAAACTATTTAAATACAAAAGAAACATTGAACAGACTCTTTAAAGTCATCTCTTTAGAAATGATTGACATCTTTGACAGTTATTTCACTCTCTTCTCTTTTGGGGACTATTCAGGTCTTTTACCTCATATTGAGCCAACTTTGGTAATTTATTATTTTGCTAGAAAATTGTTCAGGTTATCTAGATTTTCAAATGTATATGCATAAAGTATATTACATTGTTTGTATTCTTCATTAGTTTCCTGCAGTAATAGTCTTTCTCATTTTTTTCTACTGCAAATGAGAGTTGGACTCTTGCCAGTGCCTGAAGCTGTAAGAAAACGATTTGCTAGAAAAGATATATATTTAAATGTGTATTTCCTTTCCTTTTCCTTCTCTTTCTCTTTCTGTCAGACCTGCTAGAAGTCTGTCAACTTTATAGTTCGTTTCAAATAATACATATCTCATTTTTTATCTACCCAGTTTTTATCTTTTCTAGTTCCTTAATGTATGTTTTATTTTTATTGATTCACTCTATTTTTTAATTTGGTTTACTTTTTCTAGCTTTTTGAGTTGAATAATCAGTTTGCATATTTTCTTCTTTTTTATTAAGGTATTGTTGATATACAATCTTATGAAGGCTTCACATGAAAAAACAATGTGGTTACTGCATTCACCCATGTTACCGTGTCCCCCCATGCCCCATTACAGTCACTCCCCAACAGTATAGTAAGATAGTTTGTGTATTTTCAATAAAGTTTCCTTATAAAGTCATTCAACACTATGATGTTACTGGAGTGTATTTAGCAACATCTTATACATTTTGATATGTAATGTTTTCCGTTTGGTTCATTTTTAATCTCTAATTCAGAATTCTGATGGCCCTGGAATCCACAAAATCCGATATCCCTCTTTTTCTGACACTTGTTCAAGTTCAGTGTATCTCTGAGTCCCAACTAACACAGAGAGAGGGAAACACCTCAAAGTAGGTAGTTGCAAATGACAACATAAAAATATAATTAATATATAATATTAATATATATAAATGGTTCAGTTTTAATCTATAATCCAAGATCTATTAGAAGAATGAATGTTACCTACACAATTACCTACATACTTTAAAAATTTTTTTATAATTGAGACTTTCTTTTGCCCTAGAATTGAGCCTGAAATAACTGAGCAAGGTCTGGTTTTCTCCTTATAGCTCCTTCCTGAAAATAAAGCATTCTTATTAACCAACCTTCCTTCTCCTACCATATCCAAATAAGGAGTTCTCTCTAATTGTCAGTATAGTCATTCAGCTTTTCATATTTTTAAAAATATGTATTGATATTGATGAAACCCTAAGGATCATTAAGTCAGATACATCGGGACCAATTCAGATAAATTCAAGTGAAAATCAAGGAGCATTAACTTGCTATACAAAATGGACATGCCAGTTGTCTTTCCCTACAGCACCACATTTAGCACCAGCAGGACCAAACCCTGAGTGAGGAGAGCAATGAAATTAATGCTGGAAGGATTGAGAGTTTATAAGTTTAGTTCAGAAATTCTTCAGAAAGGATGGTTGAATTTTATTGAATAAGAGGGAAGGAAATGATTTGCTAGAAAAGAGAAGAAAGAGCCAGTAATAATTTATATATATATGTATATATATGTTTATACACATGTGTATATGTATTTGTGTGTACATGTGGTCATTGCTATCCAGTACTTTAAGCATTACAACAACGCTTTGAGAAGGTATTGATTATGTCTCATTTTGCTGCCTGAAACACTGAAGTTTAAAGAGATTAAGTGTAGCCAAGTATGGAACCCAGATCTTCCAGCTTGAAGTTCACTGTTCTTTTCACTAGATCATGCTAAGGAGTCAACCTCTAGAAGCCACAAAATGCCTTGTCCACAGAGCAGCCTCTGGTGAGGGTTAGAAGGCAGGAGGGGTCTGACTGTGGGTATCCTCAAATGTGTAACCTCAGTGTTTGTCTCATTTGAGATCCCTGCAGTGAAGTTGAACGAGCTGCTCGAGAACTTTTATGTCACCGTTAAGAAGAGTGACGGCTCAGACTTCCTGGCCACCTCGCTCCATGCCATTCGCCGAGGCCTGGACCGCATCCTGAAGAATGCGGGTGTGGGCTTTTCCATAACCAGCAGCACCTTCAGTTCTTCCACCAAGAAACTCAAGGAGAAGCTGTGGGTGCTGAGTAAGGCAGGGATGTCAGGTGCCCGTTCTCGCAATATCATCTACTTCTCCCTTTCTGATGAGGAGGAGATGTGGCAGGCAGGGTGTCTAGGGGATGACAGCCCTATCACTCTCCTGTCCACCGTGGTCAAGTACAACAGCCAGTACCTGAATATGCGGACTCTGCAGGAACATGCAGATCTGATGTACGGGGACATCGAGCTGCTCAAAGACCTGCAAAACCAGCCCTATTTTGCCCGGACAGACAGTGTCAAACGGGAGAGTCGGAGTGGTTCCACTAGAGTGTGTCACGGGAAGATCTACCACGAGCATTCCAGGGGACACAAACAGTGCCCTTACTGCCTCCTCTACAAGTACATGTACATCCATCGGCCACCCACCCAGATGGAGACCAAGTCCCCTTTCTACCTTACTGCCAGGAAGGAGGCCACAGACACAGGCAGTGTGTGGTATGAGGAGCAGAGAATGGGGCTGCGGTCGCTTCGGGGAATTGTCCCAAACTTAGCCAAGAAGGTCAAGCTGGAAAACTGTGAGAACTTCACCTTTGTTTCATTTACTCAGGTCTCCAGGAGGCTGGGCTCCCACAGCTGCTGCCAGTGAGAAGTCCCTGGGCCCAGGCCGGTGCCCTGCACACCCTGACAGGCGAGGGCTCCCTCTGGCAGCCACAGCCAGAGCTCCCGGGCGGCAGGGGATGGCTACAAGGTCATGGTTAGGCCGGCCTGCGTCAGTGGTGACCTGCTATTTCTTTACTTTGGGTTTGTTTTTTAACTGCAAGTAGATGAGTCTGAATAATTAGGATGTTTTAGCCAAATGTGTGTCACCTTTGTTAAATTACACAATCTAATACAGTGTATAATTGCTACATACACAAGAGTGAGGAAGTTCATTTTATCTAGTGCCTTTTTAGCACAGATTTTCTCAAAAAAAGAAAAAGAAAAAAAAAACTGTTTAAGTAGTCATTTTTTTAAAATCCCAGTAGCCTAGTAGCTTTAGAATGTTACAAAGACTCTACCCACTTTGTTGAATTACACTCACAAAAAGGAACCAGAAAGAGAAAGACTTGTTAATAACTATTTTCAGGAGAGAAATTGCACTTGACACTCTTCATATTTTATTGATGGGTGACTTGGTTCTACAGAGCCAGCAGCCTCACTTGATGGCAGATGGTCGAGTTGCACCCAGTCATGCTGACAGAGAGGCAGGGGGCTGCTCTGACCGCTCTCAGCACTGGGAGGAATTTGATCTCTGCATCCATGGAGACCATTTTATGAAAAAAGATGAATGCACCAAAAGATGTTCGTGAAAACAAGGTTTCCAGTGAACTAGATGATTGGTACTATGAGGGAATTTCCTGTAGCAACAGTGGCTTGGAAAAGCAATCTGTGATCAAAATGTGAAAACCTCCTGAAGAAGTGCCTATGTTTTATTTCTCAGCGTCACGTGAAAGCTGTTTCTGTTCAAACATTTTTCAGAGCTTTTTCTTATCTGTTCTTTGTGTTACACAGTTGTCCTGTTAGCACATGGTATGGAGTCTGTAAAACGACAGAAGGTAATGGTTCAGGCTTGTGTTTTCAGGGCAGTCCAACAGAACCAGCTGCAAAGGGCTCCCAAAATGTGTTTACTAAAAAGCTTTGAAATATTTTTGTTCAAGTATGACTTTTTCAGCCACAGTAAATGTCATCATTGTAGGTTGGCACCAGTGCTTGGGACATGAGGATGTAGGCAACCCACCAGGTAAGCAAACTCGGCATGGAGGACATAGCTGTAAAACCAAGAGCATCATGATAGGTTATTAATGCAGTTTAAAGTCATTTCATTCAGGTAAAACTCAACCTGACGACACGTTATGGAGACGTCATCAGAATTTTCTAGTAACTGCTCTTAATGATGAGTAAAAAAGGAGCCCAAAGAGTGCTGAGAATATAGTTTCTAAGGATCTTTATTTTGTATTTGAGGAAAGACTGCTACAGCTTTATATCATTATGTTCCTTTGTGTGCTTTCTAATAGAAAATTAAGATTCCAATATAAATTCATGTTGTGGGAGTCCTAAAAGCAGTGCTATTTCTTTTTCAAAATCATATTTTAGTATTTATTTCAATTCACTGTTTTAAAAATCATTCACTGGTCACTGAAATATGTAATACTTCCTATCCTGGACAAGACTCAACCGATGCTGCCTTAAGGTTTAATGTTGTTCTCTTTTTAGTGATTGCACATTTACTGTTTTGTTTACTAGTTGATCTTTCCTGAAAATAGATTAATTCTGGAATGTTCCCATCTGTATATAAATAACAGGTAATATTTTATAATCAGTGCTATGGCTTAATATTGCATTCTGTTCTGTTGTAGTTTCCTATAGTGATTTTAGGGTTTAATTAAAAAGAGACACCATTCACTAAGGACAGTTTCCTTTAAGCTTGCTAAACACCCAAAAGATATTCTGTTTGTGGAAAGCAGATGGTCATTTTCTTGTCAGTTCTGCACTTCAACAGAAAAATAATCTATGCTTACTATTGAGTAGGGTCTACAGATTAATTAAACAAAGCTTCCATTTTAATTTTAAATAGATTTAAAAAGAAACTGCCATTAGGAGTCACTGGGGTCTTTTCAGAATTTTAACACTTCCAGAAGTAGCAATAACTGACCCAAAGGTTTTAATCTTTCTGTTTTTCATAGTGTCTTTTTGTCAGCTGAATAGCCATCCCTGACTCAAATTTGTTGCTTATCACCCTTTTGGATGTACTGTAAATCCCCAGAGTTCTGAAGTGGATGATTATATTTAAAAATCTGGAGATAGAATCTTCAGTGATATCTGATGGAATGAAAGAATTGTATCTCAGCATCCTAGATGCTGTTCATTACATGCCTCCTTGGGGAATGGGAGTGAGAAGGAAGACACATTGGTCAACTGCTACTCTGAGACCCATTGTAGCAGGCACTTTGTCTATTCCGTATTTGTGTATAAAAGTGTATGTGTATATGTATACACACATTTTAGGTTTAAATGTGGTAATGCCTAGTAAACTTGCTGAAATGGCAAAGCACCCATCCATCTATATGACCATGTCTGTCCTCAGAGGGTCTGCAGGGGAGGCCAGAGTTGCTCATTCCCTGGCATTCAGCAAAGGCAGTTGTTCTCTTTCCAGCTGCTCTAATCCACTCCCCCCGGGGACCCCATGATTTTCTACCCTGGGCCTAAACCAGGAGAAAGGAGAATCCCAAGGGGAGGAAACAGGGAGGTTAAGAGCATTTTCTCCACTCACCTTTAGTTTTGGGTTCTATTTTTTTACCCTCAAGTGGGAATGCATTCAGGAATTTGCAAGCTCACGTAGGCACAAATTGCATCTATTTCTGTGTGAGGGAAGGCGGTGCTGCCGGTGTTACGATGGGACCTGTGGAGGCCTTGGGGCGAGCGCCTGCCCTCCACAACTCCGCATCTGCTCTCCACTGAGCCGTGCCTGCTTGGTGTCCCCTCACCAGCATCTCGCAGGTTTTGCCTTAGAAGTTTGTTCCAGCAGAGATGATAGGGCGTCAGCTTCAGGGGTGTGATTTGGTTAAATATAAAGGGTTTAGCACAACACGATGCACATAGCACACATGCAGCAAATGTTAGCGAGTTTAGTCACAACTTTTGCTAATAGTAGTACTTGGTATTATTCAACTATCTTGCATTACACCACTTATTTCTTCCATTATGGAGATTCCCTCTCCTTTAAACTGTTAAACTTGAAGAAGAAACCAAACCTGATGATCTGGTCACATTTATACCCATAAATTCTACCTCCAACACAGCCAAGCCCTGATACCTCAGATATTAAGCAAAAACAAGTGAAGAATGGAGATGCCGAAAGAGGCTTTATGAGGAAGCTTTTGCACTGTTTAGTGTGTTCACAATGGGAAATATCATGGAAGAATCTAACCAAAGTTTTTAAAGAAATGGTGTCATTAGTCATGTGGCATTTTTCCAGCTTTCCTTGGATTATATGCAGCCCTGACTGATAAATGCTGTTTGAGGAAATGTGGAATTCTGTTAACTTTGATTTTTATTTTAATTCAACCTTTTTAAAAGCACCAGGCACTATACCACTCCCTCGGCATGCTCATATACAGCCATTGGGAGAATCTGGTCATAAATACATGCTCAGGTTTTTTACTTTCATTTTCTAATTTTAGTGTCGAGGATTTGTACAGTCTTTAGGCTAAAACACCCTCATACCAAAGCGTACCTGTTTAGTCATTTGTTTTCTGTTCTTCTTTTCTTTATCAGAGCACGTTTCTTTTCTGCTTTGAGTCTTAAAAAGCAGTAGGTTGTAGATAACTCTGAGATCGTGTCATCCTCATTTTACCAATAAAGAAATGAAACACAGGGATATTGAAGGGTCCGTCCAAGGTCAGTAAGACAATAAGTAATAGATTCAGGATTAGAAAATCAATCCAGAACTCTTTCCTCTATACCAGAGCTGGGAAGATTTCAATTCTTAAAAACTAATTAGTGAACTGCATCTGGCAGAAAGACATCTGGCTAGCACCACCCCCCAGTGAGCTCCTACCTTCCCAGAAAAAACATTCATAAAGATCCAGAAGAAGGCCAAATCTTGATGCGAGAATACAGAAGGAATTGATACAATTAATGAGGCATATGGAAGTAAATTGAGGCAAAACCTTCCAGGTTGTAGGTCAGTGTTTTCTCTGGCTTCTCTCCATGAAACCAAGACCCTGTGAAATAAAAATATTTTAAAATAGTCAGTACATGTTATCCTCACCAACCATGTCTACCTCCTTAGCATCTGAGCTCCCAACCCAGAGAAATAACTGGTTGATTCTTCCTCTTAGCCAGGTGACATGCCATGAAGTAAAATGCTCTCTCTCCCCTTCTCTTCCTTCTCCCTCCCCCTCTTGCTCTTCTTTCAGTCCAGAACTCCAAATCCGAGGGCTGGCACATGAGCGGGAAGCAGAGAGGATCTACTAGAGACATAGCACATGCAGAGAAAAGTGCCGGATAGGTGAGGGCAGCAACAATAAGTTACCAGGGAGCAGAACATGTAAATATTCTGCTGATTTTTCATGTGTGATATTGGTTCAGAGACCCAGACAACCAGCTATAGGAAGGAAAAGGATACCAGTTTTACAAACGAAAAGTGTTAAACTAGAAATTGGATTTGAAAATATGCACATCTCCTTATCATCACCCTGTATCTGAAAGAGGGATCTGACGAACTCGCAAGTGGAAAAGATAGCATAACCAGGGGTGGTGAATACTGAGTCCTGGAAGAAAGGATGACATTTAAGCATGAGTACAGAGAAAAAACAAAATGTGGAATATAAAAAGTGACTGAACCAAGGAAAAGGAATGGCTTCCAGAACATTTGAAAATGAAAAGAAACAAGACAATTTTGGGATTCTTTTTGTCACAATTGAAAGAAAGGAAGAATGGCTTCTATACAGCAGTAGTTATCTTAAAATGGGAGTGGGTTCAGAGAAAAAGGCAATACAGTAAGATGAAAAAGAAGATTAGTAAGAAGGGCTTCAAGGATGTTAACAACACAACATCCAATTAAAATCCACCCTGGAAGCAGAAAAGAGCAATACAGATGTTTTTAAACATTAGCTAACGTTACTGACATTCACTTTCCTGATGGAAGGACTATATTGAGAAAAAAATATAGTAAGACTAGAGAAATGAAATCTTTCCTGAACAGAATGAAAATTTGTGTGTATAGAATGAAAGGACTTACTGCATTCCAGGCAAAAAAAAAAAAAAAAGAAAGAAGGAAAAACCCCTGCACCTAAGTACCTCTGGCATAATTTTTAAACTGCCAAGGATAGGGAGTGAAAAATCCTGCAGGCATCATCAGAAAGTTACAAGTTGCCTATGAGAACATGAAAGAGCATCCTGGCTTCAGACTTCCACTCTATACCACCAAATGCCAGGAAACAATGGGGAATTTTGAGGGGAAAAATTGTGACTTTGGAATTTGGTAAACATTTTACATGTGAAGATAACCAAAAGTATATTTAGTTATGACAAGCATGCAGGTGACAAACCATCTATGTACTATTGTTATAAATTGTACTGCAGCCTACAAAGTTTGGTCAAAAAAATTTTTTTAGCTTAATATGAAAATTTCCAGGGATTCTGGGGCATTAAACATTATATCATTACCTACTAGAAGAAGGATATGTGTACTTAGATAATATGGCTAGAAGCCACATATCTAAAGCGCCCAAAGCCCTCATATGAATGAGCTAAACTAGTGCAAGAAGATGAACTTAAAAGTCATTATCAATCACAGCATCAGATTTCTTCATTTTGATCACTGACGTAATGCATGATCAATATAGATAGAAACTTCAGATATATTTTTCACAAAATTTAAATTTGATTTAAATCTCGAGTTCCCCCTACCAGTTGCAACACTATCCTGAAAGATCCCTTGCTTCCAAGAAAAGGCAAGGGGTCTCTAGCTGTTTGGGGGTCTGATAGCCTAGACTAGAGTTTTTTGAGACCATCCATGTGCTTCTCCACTTGCCTCAAATTCAGAACCACAGGTGCAAAATCAGAGATCAGGAACAGTGAAGCTTGTTTGAGAATGCAAGTGCAAGGGAAGTTCAGTTTCAGCAGTGAAGGGAGGCGTGTGGCTGGCCAATGGCAGGGAGGGTGCTTTCCTTGGCCGTCCTTGAAGTTTTATGGAACTATGTTTAAATTCAGATAGTAAGGAAATAAAAGAAGACAAAAGAAACAAATTACTTCTGGAGTCTAACAAGGTCAGTGTCAGAACCAAAGCTGGGCTGTTCATTGTACTTTTCATTTGCTCACACTAGAAGGACTTGGAAACACACAGGAATGCCCAGTGTCATTGGCCTTAATGCACAGTTGCTTCCTGGCTGTGTAAAGGTTTTATCTGTGCCCAAGTCATCTTGCAATTTAAACTCTTAACACCACCAGCACATCTGGTTTAGATTTAGCAATAGAATAACTAATGGGTTGCTTTGCATTTGCTTAGTTTTCCATTGTGAAGCACAAGCAAACCTCTTACAGCTGGACAGAGCATCTTCTGGACAGGTTCCAAGTGTAACCTTTCCCAGGTCTCCTCCTGCTTGGCTGTGACTGACAAAGTCTGTTCCCTTTAACTATTTAAATAAGAATCTCAATGCTTTTATTTAACATTTTAGTATTTTCTATGTGGCTGTATGTTCCAAATAATAGCAACAAAACTGTTTCCAGGTGTTTTCACTGTTCTGAATGTATTAGTTGTTTTTTTTTTTAATGTAGAGGAGAATATCCATAACTTCTTAACACTGGAAACGTCATTCTGAATGATAAAGGAAATTGTCAGTAATGTGAGTGGTTTTATTGTACCATTTTCAACTTTTCCTTTCCCTCCCCACTGATGCTTGCACATACACACATACCGCATATGCATGTGGTGGCACAAGTGTGGGAAAGAACGTGGAACATCTGTTTTCTGTCATCGAGTGTCAGTGTTGGAAGGGATTTTCTTGTTCATCTAGTCCAGCTCTCAAGTTGATGATCTCTTCGAGTTTGTTAACAATTTGCAAGGTTCTAGGTTTTTTCAAAAGTTGTTGTTTGGTTTGTTTATGTACCTGCAATTTGACTGTTTAACCCAGATTTTTGAAAATAAAAAATAAAAAAGTAATGTATATTTTATGTCTGTTTTATTAAATATAACTTAGTTATTTAAACTTCATCAACAGTCTGTATGGTTTCTGAATGTTGTATTTTAGGATCACAGTCCTGGAAGTAATGTTTTCCTTTGTATTTTCCAATGTAAGGACATTTTGAGCAGTTCTATGCCCTTGTGCTGTGCTTCTGAGACAATGCCCTGGGTGAAGCAGTGGTCCTGGCTGACTCTCCCTCTGGTTTTCTGACTTGGATTTCTTCACCGGGCAAGCTGAGAGCCCTTTGGAGAGCTATGATGCCGCTTGTATGTTGACCGTTGTATACATGCCTCTAATTACTATTTTTCTGCTCTTTGAATTATTATTTATAGCTTTTAGGGAGTACATTTTAATCCTAAACATTTTTAACATAGAAATTTACTGTTCTACATATTTAACAGCTAAAATAATTCCTAAGAAACAAGTTTCTGAAAAATATTTCCAAATGAGTATAATGGTAGTAAAGATGAGGCATTTCATTGAGGATTATTGACTCTCAGGCAAATCGGCTCTCTTCTCATTATTCCACTTAAGAGCAATGACTTTATTATTATTATTGTTATTATTTTAGATTCCTGGACCAGTTTAAAAATTTGGTGAAAGTCATAGAGCATTTTCTCAGGAAAATGCGTCTATCCAGGCAACATCTCACATACATAAATCTCTCACATACTGTATCACATACGGTCTACATACTCCTGCGATAGAATTTTTTTAAAAAAGAGTTGTCTCTTTTGAGATCTGTTCTAACATATTTAAAGATTGCTTCAAAATAATCCAGAAGGATAGTAGTTGGGGGTGAAGATGACACACACGTTGGCCTAAAGTTGATAATTGTTAAAGCAAATCGATGCAGATGCGAGAGCTCCTCATACACCTCTCTGTTCTCTTGTATACGTTTGAAAATTTCTGTAAGAGTTAAAACCCACCAGGATAAAAACTTGTGCCAGAGCTGTTACAACCTTCCTCGCCAATATCATAGAATCACAAAATCTTCAAGCCGACAGCAAGGACCTCAGGAGAGCTGAGAATAAGGATGCTGACAAACAGAGAAGACCCTCCAGATAGCACCGAGGTTGAGTTTCAGGTGGGAGTGCTGCGCTGTAGCAGGAATGGCAAGAACCCGTGGCATTGCTTTTAACATGACCTCATTTGTACCTACCACATGGGCACCCCTTTTGCTCTTCCCCTTTCATGTAGAAAGTAGATCTGTGGAAGTGTTGGGGGTGCTTCTGGCAGCCTTAAGAGAGAGACAGTTAAGACATACAGATGGAGATGTGCTCCATCTCAGCCCTGTGAAGATTTGCACACTGAGCTAGGGGGTCCAAAGGCCTAGGATTGCACGTGTCCTTCTAGGCTTTGAGAACAAACACTCCTCAAGGAGTTGCTACAGGAATACAGTCCACTGAAACCTTGAAAGAATGAAAACCTCCAGGCGAGCACCGGCAAGATGCCCAGTGTGGATAAAGCGCATCAGTGGCCTGCGTGCACCGTCATAGGCAGCAAGACGGTTACTTGCTCGGGCCTGCTGTCCAAGTCTCTCGTGACCAGCGCATTTGGCTTATTTCAGCCTATTCCATCTCCTTTTCCTTGCCCTCTCCCAGATTAGGACCTGGGGCCCTGAGGTGTGTGTTCCGTCTTCCTTCCCCACCACCTTTCTTTTTCCTTCTCTGTCTTGCAGTTTCCCTGTTTCATTCTTCCTCTGCTTAGGAGCATTTTCACTACAATTTTTGCCTGTGAGACACCAGAGACAGACATGAAAGACATTAAACAAGATATATTTCAACAATAAATAAGATTCTTGTATTTCTCATGGGATCCCAAAGAAATAATGATGAGAAATAAAAATTCCTGCTGGAGTATTTACAATGTGCTCAGCTGTTGAAATGCTCCGAATGCAATCAAGGAAGTAATTTAGCACATTGCTAATACACTTAACTATGGTAATAATGTTTAAGATTTTGGCCAAATTTAAAGAACCCAGTGAATCTTTCAGGACATTATTGAAGACACTAACCTCCACAGTAACAAATATGTTTCTGGTGGTTAATAGTTAATACTGTATTTGTGATTTCTTGTCCATCCGTAGGATAATGTCCCACAATTAAAAGGATGCAGTTTGACCCTCTTCCAGGCAGGGAACAGAATGATCCAGATGTTTCCTTTATCCTGATTCTCAGGTCATGTGTAGACTCTGCAGCCCTCTGGTATGTATTTCTCTTGCTGTCTCATAATTTCTCAGTGTAACTACCCAGCCAGGGATTCCCAACCACTGTTTCCTAAGTGTCCATCATTCATGTACCTCCTCCGCAATTTTTGTGATAGCTGAGTCCACTTGTTATATTACCTATTTGATACTGTATTTTAATTGATTCATTTTTTACTTGAATTTATTGTAAAGCAAAAATTCTTAAAAGCAGGGCACCCGGAGTGGAACCACTTGAGTTCAACCACTTGCTCCTCTTCTTATTAATTCTGTGACCTTGAGCACGTTATTTGACCTCTCTGTGCTTCCGTTTCTTCCTCTTCAAAAGGGGGATAACAACAATTTCTGTCTCATAAGGTTGTGATGAGGATTAAGGAAGAACATTAATGCACATGAAACTAGAACAATGCCTGGTATGTAGTAATCGTCAAAAAAACAGTAACTGTCAGCTATGCTTATTATTTATATTACTATATAACTGCTGTATTAACAACTAAACTTGCAATTAATTAATTAAACTTGCAATAAATAGATCCAAACACATACCTATTAAAAGTTAAAATGTTCATGCATCTATACCCCCAAGAATCATCTGTAGCTCATCAGTGGCACAATGACCACATACTTTGGGAAATGGCTTGGCCCCCTGCCCTTTCTGAAGTCATCTTCTGCTTGGCTTCCAGAACTCAGTGTGTCGCCATCTCCTGGTTTTCCTGCCGTGTGTCTAGATTCTCTCTTGGGCTCTGCATCCCTCGACTGTCTCATATATACTGATTCAGTTTCATGTACTTTCTCAGGGCAGTTTCATCCACTCCTATGGTCTTAGCATAAGTAGATCTACCTTATCCAACCCCTTCTCAACTGGGGGTTTTCATCTGAACCACAGAATACAGAAAATGACTTGAAAGCCTCGTTTTCCAGGAGAGCTGAGGTACATAATTAGTACCATTCTAAATGCAGAGGAGAGATGTTCATTTGTTCCAGACAATGGAGGCCTTAGGGCTTTAGAGCTTACTTCTCTGGTGGAGTCTGTTGAGAAAGACTTCTCTACCCCACGTCCTTGCCCTGTATTTCCTCCTAAGGAAATGCCCCTGTACCCGTCTGCTGCCCAAGGCAGAGCCCTGATGGTCCTCCCTCCTCCCTCCCCCCGTCTTTCATCCACCACACCCGATTTCCATTACTGGATGACTCTACCCACCTCAACATCCCTGGACTCTCTCCCCTTCCTGTGCTCCCCGCTGCCACCAGCCTGGCTGGTCCACGCTGTTTTGCCCCATGAGTACTTCAGTGCACCCCGAGTGGTCTCCTTGCCCCCACCACTGCTCCTGGAAAAATTAACACTAAATGCATATCTTATTCAAGCATTGCCCCTTTAAGGACTCTCCAAGGCCTTTCTGATTAAGCCCTAAAATCTCAGCAAGGATTGCTGGCTTGTGTTGTCACACCGTTCTCTCCCTCCCTCTGCCACCGCACCTGCTCGCCCTCACCCTCTGCCAGGGTGCCCTCTCATGTGCCTGTTCCTCTGCCATCGCCCCACTCTTTTGTAAATTCTTACTTAGTCTCCACTTCTCATCTGCCGTATGTACAGGTGTACGTGGCAGACTCCTCTGAGGAGTGGTCAGTCCTCTTGCATTCTGCTGCCTTGGCAGTTAGCAAGCTGATCATAGTCACCCTGCCGACCGGCCTGTTCCCAAGGAGCCGGCTGTATTCACAGGGAGCAGTTTTCCATCTCTGGGCATTGGCCTCACCAAGCAGCTGACCTGGGAGAAGAACTCAGGTTTCTAATGAGGGTCTGCATCTCCCAGGAGGGAGGGCTGAGCCTCAGCTTGCGGCTGCTCAGAGCCTGTATTTTTACTGTTGGATGTTTTCCTAAGAGAATGTGAATTAATAGCTCAGTAATGAAGAATGAAAGGCTGGCACACACTCCTGTTTTCTTGACGGAACTGTGGCTGCCAGCTTCAGTGTATTTGTACAATAAAGCAAGGCCCTAAATCTCCCGGGAGGCTCCCAATAGTAATAACATCTGTGGCATTGAGATTTCCAAAAGCCTGCACTGGAGAGGCATCCAAAGAGGTATGGCAGTTAAATTCCTTTTGATAGAAATGTTTTAACCTGGCATTCATGGCTGTACTTCAGGGAGTCTAGGAACCTCCTAAAATTACAGGCATAGTTTTTTGTGTATGTGCTTGTGTACATTTCACTTGTGGAGAAGGGCCACTGCTGAAAGCCGAGATGCCAGTTTTCCCTTTGCATGGCCAGATGTACTGCACTTATTCATTAATATATTTGAACACTTGCCACAATGGTCAGGCACTGTCCTAAGCACCGGGGGGTGGGGGTGGGGCAACAACCACATACACATGGCACTTAATTATAGTGGAAGAAGGCAGAAAATAAATGAAATAGGAAAGTAAATTACTTTCTATGTTAGAAGATGCTAAATGCCACAGAGAAAAGCAAGGTACTGGGAAAGAAAGTACTAGTGCAGGGAGATGACATTTTAAATAGAATAGGCACAGAAGGCATCATTGAAAAAAAAATTCATTTAATTGGAGACTAGAGACTATTGAGGGAGCAAGCTATGTGGGTGTAAAAAAGAAGAGCTTGCCAAGTAGAGGGAACAGCAAGTGCAAAGGCCCTGAGCCCCCAGAGGACTATCTCTTCAAAGTTGCTCTTGCCTGACATTAAGGCAGACAGCAGGAGCTGAGAAAACATTATCACCTTCTGGAAGAGTGGAAGGGCTGAGCATCTCAGACCAAACCATTTTCTGTTTGAT